TGGGGGGAGTCCTCTCTCCCTACCGCAGCCCCAGGGCAGCCTGCACCCTAAACCCCTCATCCCCAGCCCTGAGCCCACACCCCAACCCTCTGCCCCAGCCCTGAGCCCCCTCCCACATTCCAAACCCGTCGGCCCCACCCCCACCACATGAATTTTGTTATGTATACCAATATGAAGGTGATGTGTCACACAGGCCCTCCACTGAACCCGGGAGCACTGCTGCCTAGCCTGTTCTTGGGGTCTTCTAGCCCCAGATGCATGCCGGCTGTTCCTCTTTCACCTAGTGTGCACTTCATCTGCTGTTTCAAAGCATAACAGAACCCCAGGTGTACAGCTGGAGGAGCCTTTCACACAGCTTCCTCTCCTCTCCTCTGAGCACCCCCATTCTTCCCGTCATAGGTGCCGACTCCATGGGTGCTCCAGGGATGGAACACCCATGGAAAAAAATTAATGAGTGCTCAGCCCCCATTGGCAACCACCTGCCCCCCTCCCCTCCCAGCGCCTCCTGGCTGCCTGCTGCCCCACTGATCAGCACCCTCCCCCCCCCCCATGGCCTCCCACCCACCACAGTCAGCTGTTTAGTGGCATGCAGGGGGCTCTGGGAGGGATGGGGAGGAGTGAGAGGGGGCATGCTGGGGGAAGGGGTGAAACTGGGCGAGAAGAAGCGGGGTGGGGGCATTGAGCACCCCCCCCCGGGCCCAGAGGAAGCCAGCACCTATGCTTCCTGTTCCTCCCTAATATACATCCTCCCATTTATGGAACCAACTGCCTCATTGGCCCATCATCTGCCACCCAAGTGTCAGTAATCCCCAACAGATACTGGTTAATTGACCTTTATTAAGCCTGGAGTCTTCCTGGTGCTGCATCAATCGCATACAGCTAGCCCTCATCACAGACTTGTATATTAATATATTAATTTTAATATTATATATGTATATATTGCATTGAATATAACAGATCATGTAGTTCATATTTGATATTATAATGTTTTGACATAAAAATGAAAGAGTTTTTCAGAACAGGTGGAACAAACATCTGCCAGGGATGGTTTAAGTTTACTTGCTCCTGCCTCAGCACTGGGAGCTGGACAGATGCTCTCTTGGGATCCCTTCCAGCCCTACATTGCTATGATTCTGCGGTTATCAAAACCAAACATTTTGATAGGTCTGAATCAACATTTTTCGGAATATTCGTTCTGTGAGAAATTCCAAAATGTTGGCTCTTATTTCCAATTTGTAACAAAAACAAATTTGGAAGTCTTGGAACATAAGAACATGAGAACGGCCATACTGGGTCAGATCACAGGTCCATCTAAGCCCAGTATGCTGTCTTTTGACAGTGGCCAATGCCAGGTGCCCCAGAGGGAATGAACAGAAGAGGGAATCATCAAGTGATCCATCCCGTTTCTGCAGAATGGAATGCTATTTCCATCCAGCTTTAATGGTGATGCAGGGAGTCCTTCAGCTCTGAAGGGACAGCATACAGAAATCCAAGGGGCTTGCAGAGGCAAAAGAGGCAAACGTGACCAGGTAAATTTCCCCTTCCATGTTCCAGCACCACAGGTCTGGTTAGCAGCACCAAGGGCGCCCTTACAGAAGAGACATCCCGCAGTACTCTGCAAACTCAGCTACAAGTTGTACTGTTTGCAACTGTCCTTGTAAAGTACAGCCATGATTTGTCATTCGAGGGTGTGTGGTTCCCTAGCCTGGCATGTCCTTGGCAAGCTATTATTAATTGGGAGTAATGATATAGTAATAGCCTCACGTGCTGCTCTGTTAATATTATATGCTGTAGCGGGACCAGGTACCATAGTGATAGGACTGTGTGAAAGCACAGCTAGACAATGTACCGTTACTGCAAAATACTGTAGTACTTTTTCCTAGGGAAACGTAAAGGAAGGGGTCTGATTCTCCTCTAAGTCACCCTGGCTTTATCCTGGTGTTAGTCTGGTTTACATAAGTGCAACTGAGGCGAGGATCGGGCCCTGAAGGACTCTGTAACTTCATTCCCCGTTCAGACTGGCCTAGCCTTGGTGACTGTCCCACCCCGGGGGGAAGGATTGCAAGGCCCCCAGGAGCTTTCTCTGTCCCGTGAAGCCTGATCAGAAGCCAGCGTCGTTGCTCCTCAGGCACGCACAGCAGCTGGGGTAAGCTGGGTTGCCACGGAGACGTCCAAAGCAAGTCTAGCAATGCACTGCAGCACCAGGCCCGAGCCAGGTGGGGAAGCCTGAGAACAAATATAGGCCAGCTCCAAACTTCCTGGTTGGGGAACCGTCAGAAGATTCACCTGGGCTAGTCTTGGAGACCCACCAGCCTTCTCCCTGCAAACAGGAAATCTGCATATCCCTGGGTAAATCTGTCATTGTTGAGACAGTGATCTCTCTGCACAGCTACATAGCCACAGGCTGGGAGGCTGCTTTTCAGAATTTGGGGGGCTCTGATTTGTGGTTTGCAGGCCAACAAGGTAAGCACCGTTTCAAAGATCAAGGAAAGCAAAGTGCAGGGCCGAGCTGTGGTTGCTGTCTGTTTCAGTCATTGCATCAGCAGGCGCATGTAAACCTGTCAACAGCCTAGAGAACTCCTAGGGGGGGAAATAAACAACAAGGGACAGATAAACTGAGGCAGGTTTGTTAACATTCAGAAATAGGGATGCATTTTGTCATAGCATTTTTTATCCAAGAGCACAGAGCAATCACGGTAGATTTAGTAAAAGTCACTGTTTTCAGGGGAAATGGTGTGTAAAGTCACAGGAGCACGGTTTATACTTGGGGGGGGGGGTCTACATGGATCCAGCCCCTTGGGGGGGAGGCTTCAGGGGAAGAGGGGATGAGGAGAGGGACAGGAGAGAAGGAAATGCATGAATGCACCTGACCCAAAGGGTGTTAGATTTAGCTCACTTTGTTTCTGCACTGCCCCTTTTATGAATATTTACATTCATGTGTGAAATGAATTTTGTTATGTGCACCAATATGGAAGTGATGTATGGCGGGGGTTGGGCCGAGGAGTTCGTAGTGTGGGAGGGGGCTCAGGGCTGGGATAGAGGGTTGCGGTGCCGGGGGGTGAGGGCTCTGGCTTGGGGTCCGGGCTCTGGGATGGGGCTGGGGATGAGGAGTTTGGGGTGCGGGAGGGGGCTCAGGGCTGGGGCACAGGATTGGGGTGCAGGGAGGTGAGGGCTCTGGGGTGGGGCTGGGGATGAGAGGTTTGGGGTGCAGGCTGCCCCGGGGCTGCAGCAGGGAGAGAGGACTCCCCCCAGCCCTCTCTCGCCGCAGCAGCTCCAGGGCAGGGGGAGAGGCGCCTCTCGTCGGCTGCAGCAGCTCCAGGGCCAGGGTTGGGGGAGAGGCGTCTCTCCCCCCGCGTGCCTGCGCAGTCCTTGATAGCCTGCTGCACGGCCACACAGCTTAGCGGGAACTTAGCTTGTAGCCTATCATATAATCAGGGCCGGCTCCAGGCACCAGCGTAGGAAGCAGGTGCTTGGGGCGGCCAATTCAAAGTGGCGGCACTCCGTCTGGTATCGGGGTAGCACGTCCGGGTCTTCGGCGGCAATTCGGCGGCGGGTCCCTCATTCCCTCTCTTCCTCTTTGAGCTGCCGCCGAATTGCCACCGAAGAGGAAGAGAGGGAGGACCAGCCACCGAACTGCCCCCGAAGAAGCAGCGCGCTTTAGCTGCTGCCGAAGTGCCGCCGCTCGTCTTTTTTTTGCTGCTTGGGGCGGCAGAAAAGCTGGAGCCAGCCCTGCATATAATAAACTACATACAGATTTATAAAGTAGGAAAAGGAAACAGGAGAATTATTTACAAGGTTAAAGCAGATAAACATATATACACAAATGAGTTACAATCTTAAGTTTCAAAAAGTAATAGAAGCTTCTATAATAAGCAAGCTCTATATGTCCTTTAGGGCTAACCCAGGCTAAGCACTGAGGATCTTTTGCTTATGCCTAGCAAACCTTGCCCCCCAGAGGCCAAGCAGCATAGAGATAATAAGTTCCTTTTCTGTCTGGGGTTTTTATCCCCTTCCTGCTATGTGCTCTGAACTGCAAACTCAGCTGATGGGAGAATTCACTTGCATGACTAATCTTCATTGAGGGGAGAGTAGGACAACAGAGTCTTTTGTCCTCTTTAATGCCCCACAGTAGACCATCTAGTGTCCATCTGGTGTCAATGGACCTTTCCCATTGGGCAGGATGTAGCACCTACTGTTGCAGATTAGCACTTTACATTAGTTAATGCATCTCTCCTGTCTGGTGATTTACATAGTCACAGAGGCTTACAATACAACCACTCTAATATTACCTTACAAAACGGGATGCAGATGTTATAAGTGAGATTAATGCATGCAGCAATTCACAAGCCTTCAAAAAAAGACTAAACACATTTTTAATCCTAATATCTATTTTAACTACACTAACTCACCGGTGATCCAGCCTGGTTCCACCAGGTATTTGTCAGTGTTCCATTGAGACATGGGGGCGTTGGCATGAGCTGGCACATGGTCTGTCGGCATCACAGTCACACTGCAGACCAGCAGCAGTGCAAGCTTCCTGAACATCAACCCCCACCAATAAGCCTCAACCCTGCTCTGGAGAGGCCACCTCTGTTGGTGAAGCATGGCCCATTCAATCCTTGGCCTTTCAGCTAAAATTGCCAACAATGGGAATTAGTGTCATAGTGGTTTCTGTGATGTAGCTCCTAGCCACTGGACTGAGCCCAGCAAATCCCTTCACACAGGCCCACTAAGCAACTGCTGTCAGAGAGCCACATCATTAAATCCCTCCTGGCCTGGTGCAGATTCAAACCAGTGATGTAGAGGTGAAAGGCTCCAAATCCTGTTACCAACACCTTGCCCCTTCCAATCCCTGTCATCAACACAACCACACAATTAGCATAAAATTGAGGGTAACCTCCCTCAGTCATGAAACAGAAAGCATGCAGACTTGGTTGACATCTTTAACATGGTAACCTGAGGTTTTGCTTCTCCTTCTAGCTTGAATGCTGGTTGAGACAATGGAGAAGTATGAGCAAATACTAACCATAGGCAGGGGATCAAGTGCTGAGGTCTTCCTGGTGAGGAACACAGAGACAAAGAAACTGTTTGCCGTGAAAAAAATCAAGACAGATCCATCAAAGAAAATGAGAACCAAAGAGGCAGTGCTTCAGGAGGTGACCATCCTGGGCAAACTCAAGCACCCCCACATTGTAACCTGCCATGAGCACTTCTTTGAGGAGGAACATATGTTCATCATCCAGGATTACTGTGATGGTGGCTCCCTGGATGACCACATTAAGATGAGGAAGGAGGGGTACTTTCCCGAGAACACAGTCATGGAATGGTTTGTGCAACTAGCTATGGCTGTTCAGTACATCCATTCCATAAAGATCCTGCACCGAGATATCAAAACATCCAATGTGTTTCTCACTAAGAAAGGGATGGTGAAACTGGGGGACTTTGGCATTTCGAAGGTCATGAACAGCACCCTGGACATGGCAAGCACTTTTGTAGGCACACCCTATTACTTGAGCCCAGAGCTCTGCGAGGATGTGCCGTACAGCTCCAAGTCGGACATCTGGGCGCTGGGATGTGTTCTCTTTGAAATGTGTGCCTTAAAGCCACCTTTTGATGGAATAAATCTGGTCAGCTTGTTTTACAAGATTGTGAAAGGCAAGTATGCTGCTGTGCCAAAGTGCTATTCTGAGCCCCTGCATGGCTTGATCCAAACCATCCTGGAGAAGTGCCCAGGAAAGAGACCCAGTGCCAGCAGCGTCCTCAACATCCCTTTTGTCCAGCAACACCTCAAGCTTTTCCTTCTTCACCAAGAATCCCAGCTCTTCAAGCAGCAACATCTGGCAAAGCTCCATGAGGAGGACAACACAGATCCCCTCCCACTCACACCTCAAAGTAAGACACTGTTGGCTCACCAAGGGAGGGGAGCCTTAAGGCCAAAGTCAGCTCCACCGTATGTCAACACACACAGTCCAGAGCTTTATGAGCCAGAGGAGCTCTCCAGCACTCTAGACAGCAGCTCAGATTACTCTGAAGACTTTGAGCATGAAAGTGTATCTTCCATTGAGGAGAACTTAGAAGATGACATACCCATTCCACCTCTGATCAAGGAGGTGCCAAGAGAGATAGGTAAGAGCTGGGTACTGGCCACTACTGGGGAGAGTCTACTCGACTAGTCTGTCCTATGCTTCTAAATACCATAAAATAATGGGTTCAAACAGTAAGTGACATCAGAGAGCCACCAGGGAACACTGGGTGTAGGAGGGGAGAAAAGGCTCCGGAGACCAGGCTGAAATCCAAGAAATGGGAAAGAGAGAAGTGTGAGATTTTGCTGGTTTGTTTTTATTTGGTGGGGAGAGAGGAAAGGGAGCGGCCCTGCTAGGCCCCCAGCCCTGGTTCTTGACTTTTTTGCCTGTGCAGAATGGGAGGTTTTTGTTATTATTTTACTGCAGTAAAAAGGCTGGTTCCTAAATCCTGACAACCATCACTTGCATATACAGATGTAGTATCTCAGGAGATTAAGGGCTTCGTATTAAGAAGTGCCTCCAGTTTTCTTTCTGAAAAATTACACATGCGCATTTGTTTGCATAAACCTCACATGCAAATAGGCATCTGAGCATTCAGGGCAAGTAATTGTGAGCCTAACTACACACTTACCAGGCACAAAGTTAGAGGCCCCTTTGAAGGTGGCTGGAAATTTGTCCTTAAATATACAGCTACAGACACACCCCAGACACACCCCAAACTTCCCACATCATATTGAATTTCATAGCCACACTGGAAATCCTCAGACCTGGCCTCAATATTAATTTTTTCAAAATTACAAGGGAAAACTATAATTTCAAGTGTTTTCAAATTCAGAACCCAAATATGAAATGTAGGCTTGATGCAGACACATACAACTGCATGTACATCCATGCATGATCTGCATATCTTCGGGATGAGAAGCACATGGCTTTCATATCGACCTTCAGGTCTTGTGTGCAATCTGAACCAAGCACCTCTTGCAGTCTGAGCAAAAGTCTTACCTCTAGCATGCCTCTGCTAAAATTAGAGGTGTCATAAATTTCATGGTATTTTTTCTTTTGCCACCAGAGCTTCATACCAGGATCTCTGTAACCAAGAGCCACATCCTTAAGCTGCTAGGGCAGCAATAAGGCCGCCAGGCCAGCCATAAGAGTACCGTCACGCAGGGGCGGCTCTAGCTTTTTTGCCGCCCCAAGCACGGCAGGCAGGCTGCCTTCGGCGGCTTGCCTGAGGGAGGTCCCTGGTCCCGCGGATTCGGCATACCTGCCGCCGAATTGCCGCCGAATCCGCGGGACCGGCGGACCTCCCGCAGGCATGCCACCGAAGGCAGCCTGACTGCCGCCCTCGCAGGGACCAGCAGGGCGCCCCCCGCGGTTTGCCGCCCCAGGCACGCACTTGGAGCGCTGGTGCCTGGAGCCGCTACTGCCATCATGTTCAAAGTGCTGACTCTTAGGTTCTGCAGGTTCTTGCTCTGTCAGGCTAATGAAACAATCCTAAACATGCCTCTGCCATCCTGGATTTCCTCTGCAATAAAATATCCAGGCAACCGCTTTGGCTTTAATTCTGTTTGAACATTACACAGAACTGAAGGGCTGGCTTGAGACATGTGATTCCCAGATTCCCTCCTGCCATGACCTGAATCTGAGGTGACAGCTGTGCTATGTAGAGGGCACAGAGAAATACTCCAGTCCTTGCCCTTTTAACCTTGGACCCACCAGACATTTCAGCTAACAACACTGTGGTGGAGCCAGCAGTTGGCTAGAATGATCTCTCAGGGAGGTGCTGGCAGCACACTGGGAAACCATGAACCACACAATATAGTGTATTGCAAAGTTACTAGGCACTGCTAAATAACTACACCTATAAGTTCAAGGGGCATAGAAATGGGCCCCAGAAAAGCCCACGGGCAATTTTTTTGCACTGTGTGAACTTAAAAAAAAAAGGATGAGCATTTCCCCTGAAATTTTGTATAAAAATAAGGACTAGTCAGATTATTCTTACAGAGGCATATAGAGCTGTCTACCCTATGTGCCAGCCACAGTGGCCAGCCGTGCAAGGGGAGTCTGTGGCGTCCCTAAGGGAAGTGGTGCCTCTGTGCACCTAGCTCTGGGAGGCAGTGCCAGGCCTCTCAGCGTTTTCTTTGGCCGGTGCAGCTCTGCATTGCCCGCAGAGCAGGGACATGCATTATAGGCACAAATTGAGCCCTATTTAAATAAAAATAAATAGGTAACCCAACTTTTTCCCTAAGCTGGGTATATAAGCAATAAGTAGTCACAACTCATTATGAGTTGTATAAGGCCTAACCCTGCAAGTGGTTACTACCATGTACATCCATACTCCTGTGCAGAGGCACATGATTCCAGGATGGGGGTGAGGACACCCAGACAACCTCATAATATTCTAGAGGTTTGCTGGCTAGGGCTATAAAGAGCTTTGTACCAGGCACACTTTTCTATCAGTTAGAACTAGACAGACCCATGCATACAACTTTGACTCTGCTCCCCAACCTGACTTACAACATCCCCTCTTAACCTAGTCCTGCCCCTCCCTGCAACACTCTCTGCCAATGCACCTCAGGCCTGGCCTGCTGCCACCTCTGCTATTGCAGGCAGGCATTAGGGAGAGCTAGCCACGTAAAAATGGCTGGTGGCTTTAGGATGAGGTAAAATCAGATCTAGGATAAGATCAACCAAGTGGATGTTTTTACTGGGGACTTAACCAGGATTTAAACTAGAGACAGGTCTGAACCAGAGCCCCAGATTTGGACACCTGGAACTTTGAGGGAGCTAAAATTTGGACCTATACCCAAATTTGAATCCTCATCTCAGGACCATCTCTGGTTGACACCAGTGTTGTCATAGAAAACCCACAGCATTAAGCCCCTACTCTGTCTGACATGTGTCTTCTTTCCTTTGTTGCAGACCAGTACAGCTCTCCTGACAAACTATTACCCTCCAGCCCTCTGAGCACAGATTTACAAGGTACCTTCACATGTCCTGCACGATCCCTGAAACTCAGGGCAATGAAAGCCCAAATCAGGACTTTCACGAAGGCATGCATGATCTTGGTCAGACACAATATAACCCCCACGCCAAACGTGTGCCCACCATTCATTTTTGCACACAGGGCCGGCTCCAGGGTTTTGGCCGCCCCAAGCAGCCAAAACCAAAAAAAAAAAAAGCCGCGATCGCGATGTAAAAAAAGCCGCGATCGCGATCTGCGGCGGCAAGTCGGCGGGAGGTCCTTCACTCCCAGGCGGAGTGAGGGACCGTCCGCCGAATTGCCGCCGAATACCTGGAACTGCCGCCCCTGTCCGGAACGGCCGCCCCAAGCACCTGCTTGAGAAGCTGGTGCCTGGAGCCGGCCCTGTTTGCACACAGTGCGTTGCTGTACAGCTGGGTTTATGCTGGGAACAGATGTGGAAAAGACAAAATATAGCCAGGAAGATGGTTCTGGAGTATGCCTGGGAATGTCAGGACAGAGCCCCAGTGTCATGAGAGTCCAAGCTCCACTTTGCAATCCCCTTGTGCAAGTCAGAGAACATTCAGAGAACACCCAGCCCTCTGGCTGATTAATCAAACCCAGCCCAAACTGTAAATTCTTTCATCTTGTTACAAAGTGGCTTCCTGCACTGAAAATCTTGGTGTTCTGACACAAGTTGCATAGGTCAGGGGTCCTCAACCATTTCCTTTCTGAGCCACTCCCCCCCCCCCACACACACACACATAGGCGCCGACTCCGTGGGTGCTCTGGGGCTGGAGCACCCACGGGGGAAAATTGGTGGGTGCTGAGCACTCACCGGTAGCTCCTCCCCTGCCCCAGCTCGCCTCCGCTCCACCTCCTCCCCCTCCCCTGAGCATGCCGCTTCTCCCCCCTAGCTCCCAGCTCTTTTTGCCACGAAACAGCTGTTTTGCGGCGGCAAGTGCTGGGAGGGAGGGGGTAGCAGGGGGAACACAGCGCGGGGGGGAAGAGGCGGGGCCAGGGCAGGGATTTGGGGAAGGAGTCCAATAGGGGCAGGGAGGAGACGGAGTTGGGGCGGGGACTTTGGGGAAGGGGTTGGAATGGGGGCGGGGCAGGGGCAGGGCATGGGTGGAGTTGGGATGTGGCAGGGCAGTGCGAGCACCCACTGGCGCCGGGAAAAGTTGGTACCTATGCGCACACATATGCTATAAAAACTCCACGGCCCAGTTGTGCCACAACAATGGGTTTTCTGCATATGAAAGCCAGGGCGGCATTAGGGGATCGCAAGCAGGGCAATTGCCTGAGGTCCCATACCACAGGGGGCACCACAAAGCTCAGGCTTTGGCTTCAGCCCTGGATTGTGGGGCTGGAGACCCTGGGCTGCAGTCCTGCACAGTGGGGCTTTGGCTTTCTGCCCTGGGCCTAGTGAGTCTAACGCTGGCTATGCTTTGTGGACCCCCTGAAACCTGTACACGGCCCCCGAGGGAGCTCCGAGCCTCTGGTTGAGAACCACTGGCATAGGTCACTGGTAAACACATGCCTTCTGGGGGAGCCAGCTAGTCCTGCCTCTCAGGGTGTGTCTCAAGTAGGGTAGCAGGGAGGCCTTGTCCCACACCTCTCTGGCTCTGTTGGGGAGGTGTGCAGTCCTGGCATGAGACATGCACAGGGCCTCCCCCCAGCTGAACTGAGGCCATCCCCTGTGCAAGGGCCGAAGGTCTGTGTAATGTGGTATGGAGACGGCGTGGCGGTGGGCCAGGGTGTGAAGGGTGGTGAGGTGTGATGTGCATGTGTGAGGAGGTGTGTGTTGTGTCGGGGCACAAAGTTGTGTGTGTTGAAGAGGTGCTGTGTAGGGGCTGGTGATGTGTGTGACATACCAGGGGAAGTGAGTGTGTTGTGGGGAGCGTGGAGCTGGGCACTGAGGTGGGTGCAGCGTGTGTGCAGACCAGCAGGTTGAGTTGTGTATCGTGGGGTGGGGGATGTTTGATGCAGAGGAGCGTGTCATGTGACTCTATTCTGAAAGCAGCACCAAGAGCAGCCTGCGACCGTATTAATGCTCTTGGGGCTCCCCTGCCCCTCCCGCTGCAGAGTGGAAGGATGAGGCGGAGCTGACCGATTACCCTGATGATTTTGAGGAGGTTGAAGAGACCAGCCTGGAGGACGTGGTGAGCAATGCTCGCTGTGCGATCAAGGTGCCAGCTGACAATGAGGCATTCCAGGAGGAACAGATGGATCACCAAGGGCCTGCTGCTCTCTCCTCCACCCTGAAGACTTTGCGGGAGACATGCAAAGGTGAGGAAACACTGGAAAGCCAGTAAATGCACTAGGGACTACTAATCTTCTTGCCTTTCCATACTAACTGCAGGCCTGCAGGGGACGGACAAGGAGGCTAGGCTCATCTGATTCCTGGGCTTCTGCTTTGCAGGAGACAAGCTGAGCTGTGAAAAAGGTCCTCAGCTTTTTCCATGCTGTGAAGGAATTCAACTACCCACAACCTCTCTCCTTCACACACGTTGTCCCAGAATCCTTTGCATCATTCCACACAGGGCACTGGTGTAGTGACCCCTAGGTTCAAAAGCTCAACGTTAGCCTGAGGCCCCAGGTGGGAAATAGGAGTGGGGGGTGACTCCACCCACCTCCCTAATGCTACTGTTGGTACCTTCTGGGGGGCTCTGAGACACGACTTGGGGGAGTGAAGTGCAGTCACTATGGCCCATTCTTTCTGCTAGGTCTGCCAGAGAGGGTAGGGTAACACTTAGCACAGTCCATCCCCAGCGCAATCCCTGTACACACTTGAAACCAGTGAACTTCCCGATCACCCCTCAGGTAGCTAATCATCATTATCTCCATTTCACAGCTGGGGAAACTGAAGCCAAAAAGTCATGTGACACACCCCAAACTGCACAGTGCATCAGGGCAAAGCTGAGACTAGACTGCAGCCTGGCTAATTCCTTCCCATCACCCTGATGTGGCATCAGCTGTCCCTGCCATACTAAGTGCAAGGTACCGCAGCAGTTTTGTGCTGTAGACATCTATCTACCAGAAAGTGGCATGAGATCTAGAAATACTACTGAATGGCCAATGGGCAGTGTCAACCTTCAGTCCCTAGTCAGCTGGGCTGGGTTTGAACAAGTGAGGTGAGAAGCAAGGTTCCATATCACATTGCCCAACTCTGAATATACCCGCCTGGGGTCATCTGAACTCATCTCTTTGTCACTTGCCTGCAGGTGAGGCTGGACCTTCTCTGTATGATGAAATCACAGGTCAGGCCCAGTTCACCCCTGAGGATCTGCAGCCTCATTTTGAACATCGAATGGGCCCTGACCACCTGGAGACCTGCTATCTGCTCCTCAGCTTGGACCAGGAAACAACTTAGTCCAGGCCTCTTCATGGAGACAGCCTGAAGGAAGAGAGTTTAGCTGAAGATACAAAGTAGTGTGCTGCTGAGTGTTGTTCCGGATTGGCAAATAAGGTTGCCTGATGGCCAATGCTGAGTTTTCACTCCTTGCTTGGTACATAAGAACGGCCATACTGGGTCAGACCAATGATCCATTTAGTCCAGTGCCCTGTCTTCCAACAGTGGCCAGTGCCAGGTGCTTCAGAGTGAATGAACAGAACAGGCAATCGAGTGATCCATCCCGTTATCCACTCCCAGTTTCTGGCAATCAGAGGTCTAGGGACACTCAGAGCATGGGATTGAATCCCCGACCATCTTGCTAATAGCCATTGATGGACTATCCTCCACAAATAGCATCACAATAATATAAAGCACTGAGCCTGCTGGAATCCTGCTGCAGAGATGGAGTGCAGAAGGAGGGTGCAGAGGCATAGGTGCAGTTTATCATTTCCAAACTACATTTTCATTTGCCCTTGGATTATTTTTTTGCCCAGGAGATGGAGCTATAGGAAGTAGCATAATATAAATAAAGGTTTGTGACAGACATTAGAAGGTTTGACAGCTCTGGGCACTGAAATACATGGTATAAGCAGAAGGCTCAGTCAGCAGTGTGGAAATATAGACTCTTCAGCAAGTCTAGTTGACTTGCTAATCCTGAAGTCTCTGAAAACTCCCCCAGTGCCTATCTTGTGCCACAGCCAAATGCTGATCCACAGAGCCAGAAGCTCTAACTAAGCCCAGAGCTGTAACTGTAATAGGTACCACTTCCCTGGCAGCAAAGTTTTGATCTGATCCACTACAACCTTTTATGGGATTTGTGTGAAATGATGGAATATGAGAGCTAGTCTTCCCTCTTTCTTATCTTCAGACTAGAGTCCCGTTGCCAGCTGATCACCTAATGCTTCTGTGATTTCTTAGTCAAGCTGAAGTTCTGAAGTGGCAAGAGTCTCATAGGTAACACATGCCATCTCTGCACTCAGAATGTCTGCAGACACATCTGCATGGATTGCCTCCCACAACCTATATCTGAAATTTGTGTACCAAAGATTCCTATTAATGAAAGAGATTAGAGGAAACATATGTAGCAATTCCACTTTGACAGAACTCTCATGCACTCATTAGGGAGTGGAACTCAAAGGCAGTGTTTCCCAGGCCTGGTGCTGGTGGAGCTCGTGGCTATGCTCATCCCCAGACCCCACAAGTGGTTGTTTATTGGTAATAACATCAGCACAGCTGAAATGGGAGGTGTGTGCAGAGAGGAAGGGGCAGGGGAAGGGTGGAGGTCAGAGGCTGCACATGGTTGTTGGTATTGCTGCCAGGTCTGCCCAAGGGAGCAGGAAAAGCCTTATAAAACAAAATATTAAAGCAGCATTGCCAATCCCAAGTGTTCAAACATTGTGAGTCAGGCCCAAAAAATCATGAGCATTTAAAAAATAACTTTGTAGTCTTATTTGCCTTTAGAGTTCACATTTGCAAGCCCAGACACTTACCTTTTAATGAAAGCTAAGATTCTCACATAATGTCCCAACTCCAAGACTGGGTGTGTGTGTAAAAATAGCCACCAAATATCACAAGAGTCGGAAACACTGTAAAAAGGAATTTTTGAAAAACATCCTGTCCATGCTATTTAAAGGGTGCTCTGTCAAAAATCTGAATGTTTTAAAACAACTTGACAATGTCCCTTTAAATCTGAGATGGCTTTGAACAGCTATGACCATGGGCAGACACAGTTACTGGACTTAACATGAAAATAAAGCTAAAACTCAGACTGAGTTGCTGATTAATAATAACAGTTCTGCTCTATCTCCTCTGCAACTCTCAATGGAGAAGAAAGGGAACACCAAAGCTTTCAGTATCTTTATTCCTTCCTACTCCATCCAGCTTTTGCAGTATTGTTATAATCGTGTTGGTCCCAAAATATGAGACAAACAAGGCCAGCTCCTGTTGGTGAAAGACACAAGTTTTCAAGCCTCACAGAGCTCTTCTTCAGGCCTGGAAAAGGTAATCAGAGTGCCACAGCTAAATATGAGGTGGGAGAGGTTATTAATTATAAGGGGTTAAGATATGTTGCAAGCAACCACTTATTCCAAATGCTAAATTCTACCAAACAAAGATCTAGGCAAATAATTTCCAGTTAACAATTTATTCTACAAATTTACTCTCTTTTTCTGCTTGCAAAATATCCATGACCCACTCCTGATTTACTTAATTAAATTAGTTATTCAAATTGTGAAGTTGGAAAAAGAGCAGACATCTTAGTCTTCCAGGAAGAGCAAGAGTCAGGCTAACTCTAACAGCTAATAACGTGAGACTTCCAAGCAGGGCCTGGGCGAGTGGAAAAGAACTGTAAGAGATGCTGTTTTTCAACCTTGTGTTAGATAAGAATGGAACACAGACCGTAGCAGAAATTGCTGAGGAAAGTAAGATGTCAGGAAGGAATATGTATAAACAAAATGCAGTTGTTGATCATTACTGTATGTAACAAAAGGTATAAATGCTTGCCCTAATTGTTTATCTTTTGGGAGACCTGCCATTGTGCATTCTCCCCCTTGCAATATTGCTTGAGAATATAAACTGCCTCTGACATGTTGCAACCAATCTCAGAGTGAGGACTCGTTTTTTTTTTCCCCACAAAACCTTTTCACATGTTTTAATCTATGGAGTAACATCAAATATTCTAAAATGAAACTATATTGCTTAAAAGTGACTGACCACATCAATCACATCATACTTTTTCTGTTTCCTGACTGGATCACAAGCAAGCGCTTTCAGTGCAAATGCTGAAATTTGTTTCAAAATTCACTTTCTGTGAACTTTTGTGCCAGCAAAATTTGCTCCTTGGAATGTTCAAGACAACGTGAGCTGTGAAGAGAGACAATTAACAGGAGAGTTTCAGAGGGCGCAGCTACAGACTCTACTTGAAGGTAGCAGGACATGGGAGTTGTTTGCGCTTTGTGTACGGCTGCGTAGCTGAGCCGTGGGCCCCTGAGTAAGCAGCTGAGACAGGTCTGTTTGTTGGTGCCTTGCTAAAGGCCATGAGGTTATAACCTTTCGAGCCACTGTTTGAAGTCTCTGAGTATTTACTGGCTCCCTGGAGGTGAGGGGTGGAGCTGAGCTGAGCAAAGCAGGGCAACTTCGCATAAAAAGTCACTTGCTAGGTGAATTCAAGAGCCATTAAAAGAGACAGGTAACAGGAGAGTTTCAGAGGGAGTTGAGAGAAGGAATGTGAGAGGCTTTCCTTCCAGATTCAGCTCTATGCATGGGTGGCAGGTATAATAGGCCATGCTGCCGCCAGCCCGCCGCCGGACAACTGGACCGTGGTGGCCCCCCCTTCCCCAAGACCCCCACCGCCTCCGCCACTCCACCCACACCCCCAAGGTCCCCGCTGCTCCCTCGGGACAGGGGAGCGAGAAGCGATGCGGAGAGCCAGCAGCCAGTGGAGTGAGGAGGCTCGGCCAGGCACTGCTGGGGCTGGCAGCTCGGCGGGTGGGGGACCTTCTGGGGTGGAAGGAGCTGGTGCTCAGGGAGGCTGCCGGCAGCTCTTGGCCCAGCCCGATTGTGGTGGGAGGGAGGACCGTCAGGGGCGGGGGGGCTGGTGGCTTGTCCCAGCACTGGGGCTGGCCCGGCACTTGAGGGGGCCGGCGGCTGGCGTTGGGGGGCGGGGGCAGTGGCTCAGCTCGACACTGGGGCTGGGCCGGCGACTTGGCCCAGTGCTGGGGCCAGCCCGGCACTTGGAGGGGACGGCAGCTCGGTCTGGTCGGGGTGGCCCATCAGGGCTATTCCTTTTGGGGGGGGTTCAGGGCTCTAGTGTGCAGGGGGGCGGGGCCTTGGGCGGAAGGGGTGGGGCTGGTGGGCTAGCCTCCCCAAAGCAGGGGTTCACCCGCTGCCCATTGCTCTATGTGCAATCTCAAGATGGCCAGTGATGGAACGGGGTGGTGACCTGCGATGGATGGGCCATTTTCTCTTTCCTGCTTGAAGCCAGAAGGGATTTCCTGTGCAGGAAATGCAAGTTGGTGGCCGTGCTGGAGGAGAAGATTCTTGGATTGGAAGGGCAAGTAGAGATGCTACTGAGAATCAGAGAGATGCTGAGGACTTCCTAGCCAGCCAGCTTTAGGAAACCCCAGTACCCAGGTTCAAGGAAGAAAGGAGCTGGTCATCAAGGAGTCAGAGAGAGAGGAAGTCAGAGAGGAGGACTGGCAGTTCATAACCACCAGAGGCAAGAGGTCATGGTGGCATTCTGCACAGTTGGAGGCAAAGGAAGACAGGCAGCCTGTGGCCACCAGAGAGAAGAGGACCAGGAGGAATTCCATACAGCTAGAAGTTTCCAATCATTACCAGATCCTAAGCCTGGAAACTGTGGAAGGTATCTTTCAAGATCCCACTAGTCTGAGGGAACGGAGAGATGTACAGAATATACATAGAATCATAGAATATCAGGGTTGGAAGGGACCTCAGGAGGTCATCTAGTCCAACCCCCTGCTCAGAGCAGGACCAATCACCAACTAAATCATCCCAGCCAGGGCTTTGTCAAGCCTGACCTTAAAAACCTCTAAGGAAGGAGATTCCACCACCTCCCTAGGTAACCCATTCCAGTGCTTCATCACCCTCTTAGTGAAAAAGTTTTTCCTAATATCCAACCTAAACCTCCCCCACTGCAACTTAGAGCATTACTCCCTACATGTGGATGGAAGCTCAGCCCAACCTGTAAGAAAATCAAGCTTACCTCTAAAGAAAATTCCAAGCATCCAAGGGAGACAGTTGATCCTTGTTGGGTATTCAGTACTGAGAAGAATCAATAGGACATTCTGCAAGGGACAGGTAGATAACAGGATGTTGTGCTGTCTTCCCAGAGCCAACACATGAGACATCACTCTAAGGCTGAATAGTCTGATAAAATCAACGGGCAACATGGAATATCTCACAGATAGTAGATGACTTCAAGGAACTCAGAAGCATGCTGAAGAAGAATGTTGAAGCAA